TGAGCCGAAGGCAGGTGCTTAACGACTGAGCCACCCAGGCACCCCTACTGTTAAGCTTCTAAAGCCTTATGCTCAAGCCTGTCATCAATAGGTTAAAGAAGCTTTCTCAGATCCTAATTCAAAGGAACCTGTTGGTCTCAGTCTAAAGCCCGGTGACTGGGTATTCTAGAAACCTCATCAGAGGAAGACAGCCCTCGAGCCCCATTGGAAAGGACCCTACCAAATGTTCCTGATGACTAACACTGCTGCAAAACTAGAAGGTATTGAGCCGTGGGTACACATCACACAGCTAAAGGAGGCTCACTATCTGATCCTGTACAGATGCTGGAGACCTCCAAGTCAAGTTGACGAGGAAGAGAAGTAGCTGACTTCTAGGTAGACTGCTTCCACCCAAGATGACCGATCGACTTCATACTTTACTCTGGTTTCTCTTCAGATCATATAAATCTTCCGACTTCATACTTTAAACACGACAGTCTTCTTCCTTTCCTTTCCTTTACTCTGGCGTTGGCCTGGAAGACAACACGCTCATCTGTATCTCCCCGGCCACTCCTAAGGGGGCTAATGTCTAGAATTTAAAACAACTTTTTATTTCAGGCTAGGGGACAATCTAACTGTGCCCTTAACTTTTCTCAAGCAAAACAAGACATTCCCAAAATTTACATTGTGAGTTAAAAAGGATCTCCCCGGGGGCTTTCATGATTCAGGACTCCTTTTGGCAGATTTCTACCTCCCTGATTAAGCATAAATGTTAAGTGAGGCTTATAAATGTAAGTGATCAGGAACTTCTTAATTCTTGAAATTGTTGCAACATCTGCTGTTAAAGCAATAGATGCCCAACAGAGATCCTTAGACTCTCTGGCCAAAGTTGTTTTTGATAATAAAATAGCCCTTGATTATCTTTTAGCTGAACTAGGAAGTGTCTGCTGTGGTCAACACCACCTGTGATCCCTGGATTAACACTCCTACAGAAGTCAAAACTGAATTACATAAGATCACTGAGCAAGCCACTTGGCCTAAAAGAGTGATTTCTTCAGCGGGGTCTTTCTTTGACTCATTTAATTTTTTTTAAAAGATTTTATTTATTTATTTGAGAGAGAGAGAACGAGCAGGGAGAGGGAGAAGCAGGCTCCCTGCTGAGCAGGGAGCCTGATGTGGGGCTCCATCCCAGGACCCTGAGATCATGACCTGAGCCGAAGGCAGATGCTTAACTGACTGAGCCACCCAGGCGCCCTGCCTTACTTAATTTTGATTGGTTGGGGTCTTGGGGACCATGCTTTGAAGCGCACTCCAAATATTGGGAATTTTCCTGTTTATAATAATCATAATAATCTTCCTGCTGTGTTCTAGTCTCTCACAAGCTTTAAATGTGTGTTCATAGCCACTAACCACCATGCAAATGATCTCCCTAAGACTGAAACGTCAAAAAAGGAACAAAGAAAATGACCGATTTAAAGTGTGTGAATCTGAAGTCATAATCTGTGAATATCATCGGAATTAAGCAAAAACATCATGACGTGTGTACATCACTCAAGGAGCGATCAACAGGAGCTGTGAGCACTACAGATCAGAGCTGAGAGTGATGCTAATGCCTTACGTTTTGAGCACATCTCTCATTTAAGCTGAGACTCTGATCAAAAGGGAGTACATGTTGGAAAGAAAACCACAGGCCCCAAAACGGTTTCTTTTAGGTTCAAGCCTCAAGTCAGTAAAGCAAGACTTAATACCTAACCTGACTATAGTCTCAACCCCTTAGAAACGTTAAGGTTTTACCAGTGAACACGGGGATTTCCTGATCAGTGCTAGGAAATTTACTGATAGACCCCTTCTGTTCCTCTTGGGAGGGTGACCTTGCTTAAAACAATAGAGTCTTTGTTAATAATTTCCTTTTTTCTACTCCTTCTCTACCTTTAAAAACCTTTGCTTTTCTGTAGCCCTTTGGAGCTCCCCTCTACCCACTAGAAGGGATGCTGCCTGATTCATGAATCGATTAATAAAGCCAGTTAGATCTTTAAAATGTACTTGGTTTAACGTTTGTTATTTAACACCAGGAAGTAGCCAATCGCTGACTTAGACCTGAATGTGTTTGGTTCTAAAGCCTTTGCCCTTTTTACTTTTTATGGAGAAGGGAAAATATATGAATGTTCCTAGCCCAGAGCCTAATATCACAAAAGTGAAACATCTTTTCATGTCATCAGCCATAGGCAGAGGAAACTTCTCCATCTTGGGTCGCACCCCATCCCCTTAGCCTCAGACTAATCTGCATTCCTGCAAGAAGAGAGGGCCAACCAGCGGGGAACCCAGGAAGGCTGGGAAGGGGTGTGGCTGGGCAGTTTCCCCGGCCTGGGGAGCTGGGTAGGTCCCAGAAGCTGTGCCCAAGGCTGAATGTATAGTAGCCAATTGGGTCCAAAGGCTAAAACTGGATGCTCATCAAAGTGTCCTCTGCATGCCCTGGACTAAGTTTCAGGAGTGAGCCCAGTGCTGTTCCCCACCTGGCTTCTGCCTCATTGCTGTCAACTGTTCTCTGAGCTCAGAGTAAACAGCCCTCGCCCCTCCCAACTCTAGTACCCCTCTATTCCCCAGGGTGGGCATGGGAAGTTGGGAGAGGATTTCTTTTTTTTCTTTTTTTAAGATTTTATTTATTTGGGGCACCTGGGTAGCTCAGTCGTTAAGCGTCTGCCTTCGGCTCAGGTCATGATCCTGGGGTCCTGGGATCGAGCCCCTCCTCGGGCTCCCTGCTCCGCGGGAGGCCTGCTTCTCCCTCTCCCACTCCCCCTGCTTGTGTTCCCTCTCTCGCTGTGTCTTTCTCTGTCAAATAAATAAATAAAATCTTTTAAAAAAGATTTTATTTATTTATTTGAAAGAGAGAGATGGAGAGAGCATGAGCAAGGGGGAGGGGCAGAGGGAGAGGAAGAAGCAGGCTCTCCACTGAGCAGGGAGCCCAATGCTGAACTCGATCCCAGGACCCTGAGATCATGACTTGAGCCAAAGGCAGCCGCTTAACCGACTGAGCCACCCAGGCACCCCTGGGGGAGGCACTCTTAGCCTCTTTTACCAGGAGTCGTCTGTGGGGACAGTGGCCTGATACACTCATGTCACCAAAGCCCTACTCACCAGTCATCCCAATGGGCAGTGCCCCGGAAGCCCTCTAGCCTCCAGCAGCAAGGACCTCCTGGGGCTTACAGAATGTCAGATTGTTGGAACGGGAAGGGTTTTGTCTAACAACCTGGGTAACTCTGTTCTGGCGTTTGCCAGCCTGGATTCTAAGGCTTGGGTATATCCTTATCAGGCTCCTTAGTTATGGGGCACTCACAGCCGTTTATCTGCTACCTGCTATGTGTCCAGGCTGGAGTTCCTATGTCAATCATGTGGACCTAGCCCTCAATGAATACACAGCTATTCCATGGCAGGAACATTACATTCATATTCTTCCTGAATTATGTTATTATCGTCTTTGTGGATGGCAGAATGGAAGCTCAGAACGGAGAAGTGATTCATTTAATGTTCCTCAGCTAGGAAATAACGACGATGGGAGTCACACCAGACCCCACTACCCCACAGTCAGTGCTTTAATTACTTTAATTACTTTCTCTACCCCAATTGGCTTGCTCTGTAGGTGTCACGCATTAGGCACCTAGTGAATATTTATGACAGAATGGGGAAAAAAACCCAACAAAATAAGGGCTTGGAGGAAGGAGGTGTGGGTTCAAAACCTTGTCTCTAGAGCCTGGCATGGGACCTTGGGGGAAGGGTCTAAACCTCTGAGCGTCTGGTTCATCTGGCACATACAACTGATGGTAGTAACTCTCTCTATTCCTAGTTGGCTGGGAAGATCCGTGAGACTTCATGAGGCCGTGAGCGCAGAGCTTGGCACACAGTCGGCCCTGAGAGAGTGTTGGTGTGGAAAAGAAAAAAGAAGAAGAAGAAGAGAGAAACACGCATCCAAAATGGCTTGAGACTGTTAGGTGTTTCACTGTCATGGGCCTCGGTTTCTTGCATCAGATGGGTTCATTTATCAACAATAACTGCTTTTTCTGTAGCCCCGCCTAGGTGCTCTGTATGACTACGCTAGACCTCCATCATGAATCCTTACACGGAGGTCTGCGCTCTGATCCGGCTGCGCCAGAGCCAACCACTTAATCCGCAGGCTCTATTTGCCTCCCTGTGGGCTGCGTCCTTTCCTCCCCCGGCATTACCCGGAGACCCAGGAGGCCACCGCAGCCCTGCGCTCAGGCCCCAGGGGGGAGGAGAGAGGGGAGGAGTGGACAAGGGTCCGGCTGCAGCTGGTCGAGCTGCGCCAGGCCTGGAAGCTGCTCAGGTTCCTGGTTCCCACCCGGGCCAAGAGTGACACCTGATCCCAGGGGATTGTGAAATGGCCTGAGGTGGCAGCCAGCCCGCGGTGGCCCCTGAGCCCCCTCCGCGCCCGCCGGCGCGGCCCCACCCCTACCCCACGCCCCCCGAGCGCGTGGTTAAATCCCGGCATCCGGGTGGCGGCTCACACCTGCACCCCGCCCCAGCGCAGCACCATGCCCGCCAGCCACCCGGGTCCTCTCGCCGTCGCTCTCCTCCTCGGCCTGCTGCTGCTCGGCCTCCCCCGAGTCCCAGGTGAGCGGGGCGGGGACAGCCCTGGCGCCCAGAGGGGCCGCTCCAGGAGCGCCAGGACGGCCCGGCCAAGGCGCACGTAGCCTCTCTGGGAGCTGGAGAATTGGGGATTCCTGGGGCAGAAGTGGGGAGACCCATGAAGACTAAAATTTGAGGATTCCGTGGTTCCTGAAGGTGGTGACCCTTAGAGCTTAGGGTGTGGGGTCCAATGTGCTGGAGGAGGGGGAGACCACTGAAGGCTGAAATTTGGAGCAGAGGCTCTGTGCTAAAGGTGGAGACTTGGTGGCCGGTGGGGGGACCCTCTGCCTAGACGTCGGAAGCTCCTGGATGTTCAGCTCTGTGGGGCTCCCCTAAAGATTGAGGGATCTGAGGATGAGGGTTAGGTAACCCCCCCGTACTTCCAGGTGTCGGGGCCCCCAGGCCTGGAGGTGGGGCCCTCTGAAGGCTGTAAGGGGGGCGCCCAGGGCCAGAGACTGAGATATCCTTGGAGCTTGAGATCTGCGGCCCTGGGAGCAGGAGGTGGGCGTCCTCCGGGACTAGGGCCCCGCGCCCACTGACCGTGCGCCTCCCAGGCGGAGAAGCGGAGAAGAAAGGCGTGTGCCCGCAGCTACAGGCAGACCTGAACTGCACGCAGGAGTGCCTCTCCGACGCCCAATGTGCCGACAACCTCAAGTGCTGCCGGGCCGGCTGCGCCACCATCTGCCACCTGCCCGACGGTAACCCCGGGGCGCCCAGGGCGGGGCGGGGAAGGGCGCGGTGGGCTGGAGGAGGCAGAGCGCCGGGATCGGGGCACAGGGCCCCCAGCCAACCCCAGGGAGCCCTGAAGAGTCGAGGCGGATGGAACCAGATCCGCCGCGTGCTTCCTCGCGGGGCCCCGGGGAGCCAAAGGCGTCGCTGAAGCTCAGCCAGGGGGGTGGGGGGGAGGAGGTCCCCCACCCCTGGCTGGATTCCATTCCCTGGTGCGTGACGGGCTTCCGGGCAAGCGCCAGCCGGGACGGTGTTCCCGGAGGTCAAGGCACCCGTTTCACAGGTTCCTCCCTGGCGGGTTGGAGCCGCGGGGAAGCCCAAGGGCTGGCGAGCAGGCTGGCTCCCAAGACCCGGGGCGCCCAGCCCTCTCGGAGTCCCTCCCCTGGGGCCTCCCGCAGCTCTGGGGGAAGGACTTGGAGCGCCTGGCCTAGCAAGACTCCCCGGATTCCTCTGTCCAGACGGAAAGAGACTTTACACATTAAGGAGAGCGCCCAGCCTATCCTAAAGATGTGGTTGTGAGTGTCAGAACAGAAAGGCTCTTGCCCAACGTCACCCGTCACTCCATGGTTCGGCGGGAGTCATAGTGAGGGGCTTCAACTTTTGCCCCTTCTGGAAGGCTGGTCAGAAGGAAATCAGGACTCCTCCCTGAACACCCCTCCTCTCTTCCTGTATTTAAAACAATCTCTTCCACTCTAAATATTGAGAGCGAGAACTATGCGAAAGCGCTGGTGGTCCACAAAAGGTCCTTGGTAGAGCTCACTCTCTCCCCCAGGCTATGGGGACGCTCATCAGAGCAGGGGGTGGCCTTAGACAACATGAAATTCAAGCTTCTCATTTTTCACAGGGAAAAACTGAGGACTAGAAGCAGGGATATGACCTGGGGCACCAAGCTGTTGTGATTACTGGTCTTTAGCCAGAATACAGCCCCAGGGATTTTCCCTCTCTGTTATTTCTCCCAAGATGCCAGTAGGTGCTGGGATGGTTTGTAACTAGAGACCTCAGACTTAGGAGCCAGGAGGTGGGAGGCAGAGGGCAGCTGCTGGGTCTGGAGGCTTCTAATCGAGCACAGAGAGGAGGATCAGAAGGAGAGGTGAGGACTGAGAAAGAAAGAGAGAGGCAGACAGACAGACAGATGAGTAAGGCAGAGGGGGACAGAAGGCATGCCTACTGTTAGGTGCAGTCTTTGCTTTTTTTTTTTGGTCTCAGATGGACAGACTGAGGCAGGAAGAGGGATGGGGCCAGATGGCTTCCTGAACTAGAATCTTAGTTCTGCCTATCTGCTAGCTGTGTGATCCTCAGCAAGTTGCTTTACGTCTCCGAGCCTCTGCTTTCTCGTCATCAAAATGGGAATGATAATCCTAAACTTTGTGGGACTGACATGGGGGCTAAATGAAATAACACACAGAAAGTATCTCTGTAGAGAGTAGATCCTCTATCCACAGTGGCGTGTTTTGTCAGTAAGACGTTCCTGATTCCCTTTTGTCCTGGGGAAGCCCAGTGTCCAGACCTCCTGCCCTTCTCAAGGGAATGGATTTCTCTGTGCTAGGAAGTCAGCCACTCCTGTCCTGTGCAGCTGATCAGCCAGTTCTGTGCCTGTGTTTGACCTTTGGCTGGGCTTGCTCTTGGGGCTCCTGGGAATTGAGCCCAGCTCCCTTATCCTTGACCGAGGAAGTGTGTGTGTGTAAATGGACGGTCACAGACTGGGCTCAGGTCTTGGTTTTACTTCTACCAGCAGTGTGGTGTTGGGTCATTCCAAAATCAAGGATGGAGGGAGGAGGAGGGGCTTGCGGGCGGTTTTCCTAGGCACCCCCAAGATCAAGACCAGCAGGCAGCTGTCCACTTTGTGACACGGGGAGGGTGGTGGGAGATCATGTTGTGGACAAGTGTTCATCTGGCATCCTCTCTGCCCGCTTCCCCTTGCTCCTTTTTCTCTCCAGAAAAGCAGGGTTCCTGCCCCAAGGTGAACACTGACTTCCCCCAGCTTGGCCTCTGCCGGAACCAGTGCCAGGTGGACAGCCAGTGTCCTGGCCTGTTGAAATGCTGCTACAATGGTTGCGGGAAGGTGTCCTGTGTCACTCCTGTCCTCTGAGGTAGGTGGGGGGCGAGAGCGGAGGGGAAGTGCAAGGATGTCTCGCTGTAAAGGTGGTTGAAAAGGAGGGCCTGGGCAAACAGACCTCTGCTCACTATCTGTCCGTTTCTTTGCTTTCATGCCCTCAACACATCTCTGTTGAGCATCTGTCATGCGCGGTGCACTGCTCTGGGTACTGAGGATGATCCATGAGTGAGCGAATCACACACAGATTTCTCTCGGATGGGGTTTATGTGCTAACGGACGATAAAGAAAAAGACATAAGCGAGTATATTCTGTAGAATGTTCAAGGGAGGAAAGTGTCCTGGAGGAAAAGGAAACAGAAGGGGGATGGGAGTGCTGGGGTGGGGGTGGGGCAGGGTGGGCAGGAAGCAGGGTTGCCATTTTTGTGTTTGTTTGTTACAGGGACCCTCAGGGAAGGCCCTACCCAGAAGACAGCATTTGAGCACTGACTTGCCAGAACTTGAGGGAGGGGGCTGTGAGGATGTCTGGGGTGGGGGGGGGTGCGTTACAGGTGAGGGCCCACAGGTACAAAAGCAGGAGTGTCCCTGCTGTTTCAGGAAAAGCCAGGAAGCTGGAAGGGAGCAGGGAGGACACAGAGGAAGGTCAAGGGTAAGTGGAGCAGCTCCTGAGGGGCCTGAGAGGTCACTATAGGACTTTGGTCTTGACCCGGAGATGTTGCCTCCATGGAAATGGACATGCTCGGGCTTAGATTTGAAAAGCGCTGCTCTGGCTGTTGGGTGGAGAGTAGACTGTTGGGGGGCAGGGGCAGAGGCAGGAGACCAGCTGGGAGGCTCCTGTGGGAGGCCCCGGAGAGATGACAGACCAGGGAGCCAAGTGGCTGGGTTTCGGACATACGTGAAGGTAGATGGGACCGTATTTGCTGATGAATTGGGCTGTGAGGGAAAGAGAAGATTCACTCTGTTTCCTTGGCGGGCACCCAGAAAGTCATCAGTGGGAGGAGCAGCTGTGTCCCGAGAGGAGACCGTGGCCAGTGGCTGGAGGGGGAGGGGAGGTGGGAAGCTCTTTGCACGTGGCCAGTGGGAGGCTGAAGACTGGCTTTTCAGGACATGTGTGGCAGGCAGCAAATGTGTATTCGAAGTGTGCTGAGCCCGTGCTCCGTGGCGGGCTGGGGCTGTGTTCGGCCACCTCTGCTGGTTCTGTCCCTGCAGGGGAAGGATTGTGGAGCCTCTCTTCCCCTGCCTGCAACTAGAAATAAAACAATACTAAGTCCTAGAGTAAGTGTGAGTAAGTCAAGAAATACAAGACCCAAAGCACATGTTTGGTTGGCCCATTGGGAGATCCAGCACTGTGCCAAGGTCTCTGTGTCAGGTGCTGGGACAGAAGGGGACCACGGCCCTTCCTCACAGAGCAACCCTGTGGCTGAAGCAGGGACACTCCCAGGGAGGGAAGGGCTGAGTGCTGTGGGAGCAGAGGAGGAAAACCTCATGGGGTGGGAGGGGTGGGGCGGTGGTGGGAGAGAGCAGGCTTGGCAGAGGGATGACCCTGGGCCCGTCCTCGAGGATGGACCGAAGGTCGGTACTGCGGCGACACAGGAGGAACAGGAACCCGGGAGCGCCCTCTGGTTGAAATATTGTTGATCGTGGGCTAGCGTGATAAGCCCTCAGCCCAGGGACTGACAGGTCACTGGTGGGACCGAGTATTGCACAGATGGGAAGACCGAGACCACCAAGAGGGGAGGATGTGCCCAATGCCCCGTGGTTGCCATTTCAAGGGGTCCTTTCAGTGCCTGAGCGGGAACCACGGTCTCCCGAGGGCCCAGAGCTCTCCAGCGATGCCAGCCATCCCTTGCCTCCCTGAGAGCCAGCAGCATGGCTGGACTTCGTGGCCAGGAAGACCCGGGCTCAGACTTCAGCTCTGACACTTACCTAGCTTTTACCTCCCTGAGCTGCAATCATTATGCTTATAAAATGGGATCAATAGGATCTCCTTGACCAGCTAATCCCAGCTTACCCTAAGAACGGAGGCACAGCAGAACCTCCTGGTGGTAGAGGGACTCGTAGGGAGGCGAATGACGATGGTCCCTCAGGAAGGCCCCAGCGGTCGGTTGGGCTGTGGTGACCTAGGTAGGTCCCAGGACGGTCTGAAGCAGAGGAGGTGAGTCTAGGACCTGCAGAGATGTGTAGGCAGAGCCCCCAGGCCTCAGGAAGGCAGGGCTTTGCTGGTGTGTAGTGGAAAGGGAGAGCAGGGGAGCTTTGGTCCAGAATTTAAGCTCCAGGTCCTCTTGGCTAGTATTTTGGATATTGTCGTTGATGTATTAATATGATTTTCTTCCTCCAGCTCCAGCCACCACAGCCCAAGGAGTGGGGGAGTGGAAGTTTCTGCCCGGCCTTGCCTGGCTCCAGCCCAGCTACCGTCCCCTCTTTCTGGCCGCTGTATTCCCTCCAGAGCTGAGCAGTGCTTCTTCCTTTTCCAGCCAATAAAGTGACCGCTTCCAGCACTGGGTGCGGGGCATGGCCTCCATTCTTAATCATTCTGTCCCTGCCTCCCCTGACTCTGGGTTGAGGTGGGGCGCCCAGGTCATCCGGGCATGAAGTCCAGGGCGGGATCAACTCTGAAACAATGAACATACATTCAGGGCTCGGCTTGCATAGTAGCACTTTTCCCGGGAGGTTGGGGGTTACCCTTTCCCTGCGAAGGAGATGGAAGAGAGAACAGGCTCAGAGACAGGTGGAATGCTTCCAAAGTCACTCCCATTCATTGCCGGGGGCTTGAAAACAGCAGCATGTCCGGGTGCGGGACCCAGGGCTGGGAGATTTGTTTGTGAGATCTCCCCGAGCCACAACAACCCTCCCTGTGGCTGATGACAGTCCGAGTTCTAGACCAGGATTCCACCAGGTGACTTGCTTGCAGCCACATGGGTAGAAAGTGGCAAAGCTGGGGTGCTTTGACTGGTTGTTGGTTCTGTTTTTTTAAAGATTCTATTCATTTATTCGAGAGAGAGCACGAGTGGGGGGGGAGGGGCAGAGGGAGAGGGAGAAGCAGGCTCCCCTACTGAACAGAGAGCCTGACGTGGGGCTCTATCCCAGGACCCCGAGATCATGACCTGAGCTGGAGGCAGATGCTTAATCATCTGAGCCACGCAGGCGCCCCTGGTTGTTGAGTTTTTATTTTTTTTAAGATTTTATTTAGAGTGAGTGGGGGAGGGGCAGAGGGAGAGGGAGAGAGAGATTCCCAAGCCGACTCCCTGCTGAGTGCAGAGCCCGACAAGGGCCTCAATCTCATGGCCCCGAGATCATGACCTGAGCTGAAAACAAGAGTCAGGGGCCCCTAGTTGTTGGTTTTTAAATCAAACTGTTATTTTGTAGAAATAATACAGTCACATGGACCAAAATTCAAAAGGTTAAAAAACAAAACAATGGAAAGGGTCCTTCAAGCTTGCCCCCCCCCTCCCAGCCCCTAGCTGTCTTCTATGGGTGACACCAAATCTACCAGTTTCTTGTGTGTTCTTTCAGAGACCTAGCTTGGTCTCAGTCCTCACATCTCCTCTCTTGCTCTCTCTCTTCCTCTTCTCCTGTTTCCCCGTTATCCCTTTCTCTATTCTGTCTCTTCCCCTTGTTCTCTATCCCTCTATCCCTCTAAGTTCCCCCATTGCCTCTTTTTCTGGCCCTCCTCCATGTCCCTCTCCCTTTATCCCCTTCTCTCAATGTTCCTCTGCCCACCCCAGAACAGCTTTTCCCTCCTCCTCTGCTCCACCCACGGTGGGATGAGAGAGGTCAGGGCAGCTTGAGGGCGATGGTCTGGAGACAGAAAACCTTGGTGGCTTGGTGTTTGGCTGGCTTATCTTTCTCATCCTCTTGTGGGTCCCTGCTCCAGGCCATGAGCCAGGCAAGACCCCAAGGCTCCCTCCCCGC